TACATAGTTTTGAGTTGTGATTACGCAATGACGTCATCTTGCAAAGTAATTATGCTTATATGTGCTTATGTGTGTGTGTGTGTGTGTATATATATGTATGTATATATATATATATATATATATATATATATATATATATATATATATATATATATATGTGTGTGTGTGTGTGTGTATACATACATACATATACACACACATATATATATATATATATATAAGCATAATTACTTTGCAAGATGACGTCATTGCGTAATCACAACTCAAAACTATGTATTATAAAAAATAATTAATGTTTTCGCAAATTGACTGGCCATCTCAGCAAAAAAAAAAAAAAAAAAAGAATAATATATATATATATACACACACACACACACACACACACACACCAGTTCTGTCTGGTTCTCGAATGTGATTGCCTGATAGCCTTGATATATTTAAGTAATATCAGCACCCGTACAGCCTCGTTACCCTTTGTGTATTACTCCGCCCACATACAGCCAGCATAAAGCAGACACTACAGATCTTAAGTTAAAAAGATGCTTGCTCAACTGTTTAACTGTCAGCTTATGATTTCAATCTGGAAGAAAGTAGTTCCTCATACAAAAGGGTTTTTGAGACTCCATGTTTGATTTTGTTTTTATATACACAATTATGCCGTCAAACTGTTGTATAAACACAATATCACACGAGTAGCAGTGCGATATGGCTGTATATCGCACTGGTGGGGGCATTAAGGCAATGCACGCCTCCCACCAGTGCCGATATACAGCCATATCGCACTGCTACTCGTGTGATATTGCTCATATATATTAGGGCTGTCAAAATTAGCCCGTTAACGCACATGATTAATTTAAAATATTTAACGGGTTAAAAAAAAATAACGCAGTTGCAGTTTTTTTTTATTTCCTGTTGTAGCCGACGTGTGTTCAGGGACTGCGCATGCAATGAGGCGACCTAGGCGGCTGCCTTGGGCAGCAGAATCGTGAGCGAATCCCCCAGTATTCACTTTCATCAGCTACACTCACCCTCTCCCTCACGGCCCTAACTTTCATCCGCGACAGTTCAGCTTACTCCGGCCCTACGTGTGTTTAACGTGCAAAGGACGTGCTTTTAGAAGGAAAGTTTCAGTATAAAACAATTAATGTTGCATCTATCCTGCGTTTCCTTCAGAGTTTCATGCAATTTCGGGTGTTTCATTTTTAATCTTTCGACTTTTAACTGCAGTTCAGCAGTTCACTCTCATTCAGCAGATTTTCATTCAGGATATTTTAATGGAATTTGATACCGCATGGCGAACGGAAAGAAAAACTCCACATTTCAGGACTCAGCGTGATCCTTTAAGGTAATCAAAAATCGCTGCTTACATGGCTCGACTCTTAATCAGTATTATCTTAATCATAAAATCGGAGTATTGGGGGTGTCCATGTAAATGTACTGTAGTGAAAGTGGCAGATGAATTCGCTCGGTCAAAGTCAGCCCATTCTCTGCCTTTAAGCTGCTTCCATGAGCCCTCACATTTCATAAGTTTGACGTGTTTCCCCCCTACACGCAACTTTTGTAAAGCGTCTGCTTTACGTTGCTGTGTCAGAATCCTGGCTTGTTAAATACAGCCATACTTTAGAACGCTTATTTAAGCAAAGTTGATGAACGCGAACATGCCTGTTGATGAATCTGAAGGGATCCCTCGCTAACCGTGTCTGCTGTACTGCGCACGTTGTCTGTGTGTGTGCGCGCGTTGTCTGTGTGTGTATTCCACTAAAAATCCAACATGGAAATCATTTTTGTTATTGGCATTGATTGTTTTGAAATTCAAATAGCAATTAAATGCATGTTTTTATTTCTGAAATAAATACGGCGTTTCGTGATTAATCATGATTCATTACAAAATAAGTGTGATTAATTACATTCATTTTTCAATTAACCATAGTTAATCATTTGACAGCCCTAATATAGATGGATGGATGGATGGATAGATAGGTGTGTGTGTGTGTGTGTAAAGTTAACAAACACAATATTTGTTTTCATACTTGTTTTCCATGTATCTCTAGTATGGAGAAGAGGAGGGATTCACTAGCTCAGAGTCTTCTGAGGTTTCTGGTGGACGTCTCATCAGACTCGTCACCCACAGAGCTAAAAGAGCAGCTCATGACTAAAGCATCTCACTGTTTACTGCTGCTTGTGCACTGCTCAAAGGGGAAACTACAGGTGAGACCGTTGCTTCTTATTATCAATAGAATCTCATACTTGAAATGAGACAAATATTATTTTTGTGTTGTTCGAATCTCCTACCCTTTCATTATGTTTGTGGCTGTTTTTGCCCCATTGACTTCCATTAAAATGACATTTTTTGATTGCAAAGGCTTGACAACAAATAATCATGCATTCTCGATTGTTAGAGGTTTTCTCTGTTGGGAAGGGGTCAAAATAGTCATTTTTACTATTTATAATCAGTATCACATCAAATAGGTCTTGCAGAAATGTTTCTGGCTTTTATATGGAGTAAAATAACCAAATATAATCTGCGTGCAAAAGTACACTGACTATGTCTACTATGTTCTGAAAACCGAGGTGCTTATTTTGATTTTCTCAGACATATCATGGTAAGTGCGCAAAGGTCTCTCACACACACACACACACACACACACACACACACTATACTCCATTAATGTGCTAAGACAAAATATTTTTGCCACTGCAACTGATGATTAACATCAAAAATGACATGTACCTCTTCCTAACAGGGAAAACAACCAACAATCTAGAATAGATATTATTATTGTCATAGCTTTGCTATCAAAAAATGTCATCAAATTTGAATATAAAAAAATGTAGTAAATTTGCCCAGAGTGTATTATTGAGTTTTTGAAATATTTGAAAACCCATTTAACACTGAATAAAGCACATAATCAGTACCTGAGCGGATCTTTGTCAGAGTTAAAGCTGTTCTAAAATAGAAATGTCATGTCAGTGGATGGTTAAGACAACAAGTTTTTTTAAAATGGAAAATATTCCTTTCACCCCTAATGTGTTATTAGTACACTGAGGCAGAGGTTTCAAACTTAGTATTTTGAGGGCCACAGTCCAGCTGAATTTAGTTCTTAACCATCAACACACTTATCTGTAGGCGTCAAACAAGCCTGAAGGATTCAGTTAGCTTTATCAGGTGTGTTTAAATAGGGTTAAAGCTACGGCAGCATAGATATATACACTAGATATCGCATACGGACCCTGAGCAAGCGTCAGTAGTGCCGCCACATTTGCACAGTGCTCCAAGGACAAATGTCATTCAACCGCACTAGTCAAGACTAAAGATCTTAAGATGCTGGACTTTTGCACTGTGTAGTAACGAGCAAACAAAGAAAATAAAGCATAATAAAGGCAGAACATTTCATAGCTGAGATTTATTTTCTTTTTTATGATTTTGTGTTAAGAACTTTCGTGCTAAACAAGTAACATTACTGATAATAATCAATAATAACACAAACTAAACACTTCATTAACATTAAAGTGAAATCGGGAGAGGGGGTGTGTATCAGGACATGGATTAAATCAAGTTTAACAGCGAGAGAGGATAATACATGCTGCACCTTTAAAAATAAACATTCATTGCTTGCCCGGCCTCTGATTTCTTCTTAATCCACTGCTTTGGAAATGAGTGACGGTGTCTACAAATGATCTCTTGTGTGAGATGCTTCAAGACATGAGAACTGACATAATGGTCATGTATGTTCTTCAAGGACAGGCAATGGAAAAGTGGTGCATTGGAATAGAAAAATGCATTCTGAGTGAATAAAACCTAAATAAGATTTGCACTAATGCAGGAAATCAAAGACAAAAGAACAAATTAAAGACAACAAGGAGCAAAACATGTCATCTAAACCATCTCCCGATCACTCTAGTTTACACACTTTACATCTTTTATGCTGTTTACTGCACTGACATGACATGAGCCTCACTGCTCGGCTTCTGATTAGTGCTCTCAACGTCTGAAGAATACCCATGATGCACTAAACGCCAAATTAATTATTGCAACTGACCACAAGGTGGCACCCACAGCAGAATCCCATCAGTTTTACATACAAGCAATAAATTCTAGGTGGATTTCATTTAAAATTATTATTTTGTTAAATCGTGTATGTATGTATATATATATATATATATATATATATATATATATATATATATATATATATATATATATATATATATATGGCACAAATTCTTGAGGTAAGGGACAAATATTGCATACTACTACCACCAAGTACATGTAGTAATTAGAGGTTTGCAAGCAAAAAAAGACAGCACTTAAATTTGCAGTAAATGTATTTAGACGCTATTTTTGTGGAAATGGTGGCAGGTATTTGCACATCAACATTAAGGTTAATTAAAAAAAAGAAAATAGGTGGATATGAACAGCTCCATTCATCAGGAGTGCTCTTTTTTTCATTAAGATTGTTCAAACCAGGAATTGGTTGGCAGAATCAGATACACTGCAAGAATGCTGCAATTCTTCTTTAGAGTCTTTTGTTTACTTTTTAGTGCATATATCCAAAAATTCTTAAATAATGAAGCATTTGAGACTAATTAAACGACTATTTTAAAGTAAGAATAAATTGTTTACCCGCATTGGTAGACTATTTTGCTTGTTTCAAGGAAAAATCTTTGATTAATTAAATGAATGCCTAATTTAGAATATTTGGACAAGAAGGCAGGCAAAAACTGACGTACTGGATCAGGTCCAATAGGTAGTGCACGTACAAGTGGTTGTGGTTAGAAATGTGAATCATTTACATTAATGATTAAACTATCCATTACACTGCGTGTTGTTAACGTCTACACCTACCACCAACCCTCAGTTATTTATGTCTTCACTTACACTCCAACCATCACAGTAACATGGGCTTTACCATAGTGGGTGTTGCATGTTGATCCAGTACATCATTGCTGCAGACATCTTGGACACTTTAGCATAAACCTTACTAGGGGGGAAAAAAGGGCAGATTTACAACCCAGTGTTCTTTTTATTCAGATACCTGTAAAATGATCTTGTTACTGCACACTGTTTAACGCCATTATAACATTTCCCGTTTCCCCCCCAGGCTCTTCTCAGAGAGGTAGACAGCAGTTGTGTCCCTGACCCAGTCTTCAAGTGTATCCAAAATGTCCTTGCAGCATCTTGTCCGTAAGCTTTGACCATTTGCCACTTTTCCCCTCGATGTAGGTGAAGTTGGCTTGATAGAACGGGAATCTATTTACTCCATTTTATGAATGCAAGTACTAAACGAGGCAGGGTTGTTGTTGTTTTTTAAATAAAGTTTATAAACCTGACTTGTTTTTTTTTGTTTAAGTTGCTTGAGATTCTTTCAATCAATTTAATAAGCATAAAACCTAAAATATGACCATTGTTGTTTACATTATTATTAAATGAGGTAAGCTATGGCTAAGACAGTAGGCTCCTGATTAAAAAGACATCCGACCAAAAATAAAACATTTACCGTTCCTCTATCCCATTTATCTCTGCATTGATACTAGTGTTTATATAGATTAATTTCAATAACTATTTTTACTAAAGATAATTTTACTCCTTGCAGCTTGATTATCAACTGTTAACGTCAATACAAATCCATGTATTCATATACAAAACATATTTAACGTTCACCCTTTTACAACACCAGCCACTACTTGGTAAACCCTGCATGTCATATGAACTTAATTTTATTATTTTTTACATGGATCAAGTTAATCCAAATGTATACTTAAAACAGCACTTATGCTTGGCATCAGCATAATTCAATGTAAAAAAAAAAAAAAAAAAGATTCCCACAAGAAAGCTTTTAATGGGAGTGTTTGAACACACACCAGTGTACGTTCTAACTGAATCCAAGTGTCTGGTAAATGATCACATTCCATGATTTGGAAACGTTCCACAGAGCCTCTATGTGGCCTTGCTTTTCTGAGCTGGTTCTGTCTCCTGTTCATACTCGATCTCCACATAGGCTCGTTTTTTCCTGCTTGGGCCTTTGAGTGGAGCTTTTCCTTTAGATTTGGCCTTGCTCTTCACCTCCTCCTCCTCAGACTCTTCCTCTGACTCCTCACTGGATTCCTCTTCATTGTTCACTTCTTCGTCACTGCTGTCCTTCAGGTTGTTCAATTCCTGTAAAACACAGGGGTTGTCACTCTTGCAAATAAAAACATTTATATAACATTACCACAATAAAAATGGGAATTACCTCAAAATCACTGAGATCACTCTCTTCAAACTCATCCTCAGCAATAAATTCTCTCGTTCCAGACTCCTGAAAGTCAAAAACAAGATCAAATAATTATTTAAAACAGCATTAAACTGTGAAGAATCATTACACAATTGACTTTTTATTACTGTTGCAAGAAATCATTGCTTTTATTCTTCAAGATTGCATAAAGTTAAACAGTCAATATTTATGATGTACCTAACTGTAAAACATTGCTGTTAATTACACTAAATTAACGCTGACAATAAATATTTGAGCATTAAATCAGAGCATTAGAATAATGTTCTTAATTTACTGAGGACTGATATAATAAACACATTTCAATAGTAGTTATTTTTAATTATAACAATATTCCACAAAACAATACAGTATTTTACTTTATTAATAAAATAAATGCAGCCTTGGTTTTCCCAAGAGACTTTGAATACCTCTTCGTCTTCCTCTTCTTCCTCCTCCTCCTCCTCAGATTCACTTTCTTCATCCTGTTTTTCCATAGCTTTGTCGAAGGCATTGATGGGGAAGTTGTAAATGTCTCCATACTAAAACAAATACAGTACAGTTTAAGAAACAAACAAAAAATCCATAATCTGGCACTACATTGGACAGGAAATGTGGCAAAGGTGCACTCACTGTTCCCTGTTTTAGCCGATCTAGCAGCTCTTTTTCGATGGCATTTTCCAGCTGAGCGGCAATAAGAGCTTTTTCCTGTTGGTGAAAAGAAAACACGAGTAAATTCCATAATCAATATTTCACTTCATTCAGATGGATGTGCAATAAAGGATGCCAATATTGTTCATCCAATTTTGATCCAAGATTTACCAATTAAAACTGGTAAAGTGGAAACTAAAGCGCCAAACAAAGAAAAGTGATCTTTAACGGTCTTGTGAAGTGCTTTGAAATGTGCAGTTTTACTCGATGTTTGTGGTAATCACAACTGAAAAATGAAGAGAGGGAGGGACAGAGCAGCTCTTCCCCCTTAAAAAAAAACAGCCAATAGTGTTTTGTGTTGATTTAGATCAAGTGCATCAAGTGAAAAGCAAATGAGAAGGGGGCGGGGCATGTCAGATCTGAGGGCATTTACCGTATGTTCACACCGAAAGCGGCGAGAGCGTCCAAAGTCGCTCTGGTCACCCTGGCGATAATGCTGTCTGCCTTCAGCTTCGGCAGCGAGAGCGTCAAATCTCGCTACATTGATCTCGTATTTAAAGGAGCCGTAGCAGCATATCAGTTACATTCCTGCATTAAACATGTTTCTAGCGTAAAAATGTTGCGCACTTCTTATCAAATTCAAATAACAATGGAAGATCAAGTTGCGTGTGGTGTGGTTTTGCACTATTTATCCAATATGTGTCCATATGTCTGAAATATCCTGAAGCAGCTATACTGTTTTGTACTGTCACGTCGCATGAGATTCCTGCTTTAAGATAAATATATATAACATTAATGCACATCAGTAACTCGCCAGTAACTTATTTAATGCATGTTTCTGTAAGAAAACATTGTAAATTATTGGAAATCCGGTGACCACAATCATCAAACCCTTGGGAACAACTGTGACTTGATTGTAACAGTTAACTTGATTTCAACTCTCCTCGACGCCCACGCTGGCGAAGACACGCCGCGCTGCTCCTCAGCGCTTATCGCCGCCGACTCTCATTGAAAATAAATGACTTCTGGCTACTTTGCCGCTCTCGGTGTGAACGTATGGTTAGTCAAGATTTGATGAGAAACTTAAGTATACGGTGATGTGAAGAAAATCACTGACCCATTTAGGCAGAACACGCTGCAAGCTTTGGATGTTTATATCAGATTTATATCTTCTTAGATGTGAATTTTGACAGTTTGAATAAACCTTTTTCTGTTTAATAAATGTTGTCTTGTGAAATACAGTCACATGCCAAGAACAACTGTCTGCTTTGTCCTCTATTGTTTATGAGGGCATCTAAAGGCATGTGGAAAGTGTAAATGGCTTCGCAAAAAACTTTATTCCTGATGTCCGTTTTAAATATTAATACAACAAAGATAATGAATTCCCTCACTCTACTCTTTTGCTCAATAATGGTTAACCTTTATACACTGAAGATTATATACAGCAGGGGTGCTCAATGCTGTTCCTGGAGATCTACCTTCCTGCAGATTTCAGTTGCTACCCATATCAAACACACCTGCCTGTAATTATCACCTGGTGTTCAGGTCCTAATTAATTGGTTCAGGTGTGTTTGATATGGGTAGCAACTGAAATCTGCAGGAAGGTGGCTCTCCAGGAACAGCACCCCTAATATACAGTATTCAGTGTTACATCTGATAGTTACTCAGATTCTGAAAACTACTGATAGCTGAAAAACATGTTTATTTTAATAGTACTACTGCTCTATTGAATTAATTTGTGATTTTGCTGGTAGTTTATTTTTATTTAACTGGGTCTTGTTTTTTTTACTGAACATATATCGAAAGACACTGCGAAACACTGACTGAACCATGAGCAACTTGTATTGTCGCATAATGAATATAAGCTCATTCTAATGTAAAGAATTCATCACCCACCTCTCTCCTCTTTTCTCGTCTCTCTACTTTTCTACTGAGTGGAACCAGTTTTCTCCTGGAATGAAAAACAAAACAAAATCAGGAGAAATTTAAGGAACAATATACAGTCATCTGGGAATAGAGCGGAGGATAAATTTACTCCAAAGTTCACTTCCTAAAAAAAAAAAAGTACATTTTATTCAGCGAAGATACAGAAAATTAATCAAAAGTAACAGTACAACATTCATCATATTAATGATTTCCAACAAATACTGTTTGTTTAAACTTTCTTTTAATTAAAGGGGTAATAATCTACTATTGTTTTCTAATGTCCATTTATAACGTTAGCAATATTTTTACTTAAGCTCTTCTGTAATTTGTTTCTGACCCTCTCTTTGAAATGCCAAGTGTCTTCAAAAATAACTAGTAAAACAATATTTACTGTCATCATGTCAAAAATAAAATTAATTACTTATTAGAAATGAGTTATCAAAACTATTGTTTAGAAATGTGTTAAAAAAAAAATCAGAAATTGGGGAACAAAATAGGGTGGCTAATAATTCTAGCTTCAACTGTATATAGCTTAAAGGTTTGACTGTAAATGAATGAACTGCAAACTTTAAAATAGAAAATATTTGTGAAATTAAACAGTTAGGTTTAACAGTTTTGACTAATGACATCTGAGATCTAAAACCCTACAGGAAGTTTGTCCGCCTTTCCCCCTGAATTCATACAGTCACTTTAATGAAATAATAAATAAATCTTCATGTTCAAAAATGATACAATCTCTCTTTTCAGTCTGCTGCTTCTATTTTAGTTTGTCTTTGCATTTAGCTGCATTACTAATAAAAGCACAACAAATATTGCATAATTAAGGTCAGCTTCTCTTTAATATCCCTTTCTTGTTTTTTCCCCACACGGCATTAAAAAAAGGAAAATTCCAATTCTGATATGCAGTTTTTACTAGATTATTACTAAAGCATGAAAGTAAGAGCCCATTTGTCAAAGAAATCATTTCCACTCAAACGTCCACCAGTGTTCCAGTTAATGATAAAAAGCTTTGGAAAAACAACACACACACACACTGGCCACTTTTTTTTTTTTTTAAATACACCTTACTAGTACCAGGTTGAACCCACTTTTGCCTTCAGAACTGCCTCAATGCTTCGTGGCATAGAGTTAACATGGTACTGGAAATATTCCCCAGAGATTTTGCTTCATATTGACATGATAGCATCATGCAATTGCTGCAGATTTGTCAGCTGCACATCCATGATGTTAATCTCTCGTTTATCAATTTGTTAAAGGCATTATAGATGTATAAAAAGCGGATGCTTTATATAACCAGGTGTCTGTATAAACACACACGCACACTCAGTCAGAAGCGATATTGTGAGACCGCTCACTCCTGTTCACCTAAGTTACGGACTGCTCCCACGCTTTATTCAGAAATTTATTCTCACGCCGCATGAAATCTGGTCGGGTCCCACGACAATGCACAGGTACAGCCATGGGAATGCAGACCTATATCCAGGAGTATCGCTTTAACAGCCGAGAGGAGGAAAAGTAACGCCAGCAGGTGAAACGGGTCACAGTGAGAAAGAGAAAGAAAAATGTTCACTTTCATTTCCTCAATCGCAGAAAAATAGGGGCTCCTGCTGTAAGTGTCAGTGAAAGACTGTCCAGAAAAAACACACACACACACACACACACAGAGTGAAATTGTGCAGTTTCTGCGTTTTTAAGTAGTTGACGCGTGGAGTGTTGTAAATACCCGCGCTCACCTCCCTCGCGACAGAGCACAAGTAAGATAAATGACATCAGTACATAATAACCGGTTATGAATATTACTGAACCGCTACTGAATTGTCTGTGAAACAATTACCTCTATCTCAAAACATGACCCCCTTTAAAGTATCTTGAAGGAAACATTAATATGAAGTAATAAATAAGAAAGAGGAGCACCATATTAAAATGATTTCTGAATAATCTACTGAGAACAACAACCAGTTTAACCTGAGGAAGCATACGCGACTTCTATGGTGGTGCATGTTATCACAATCTTAATAAAATTAAAACAAAAAGAAAACTCACTGTCGTTTTAGCGTGAGCTTGCGGATTCGAATGAGATACTGGGTGATCTTGGTCAATCGCTGTTTACACTTGTGACGGATAAACCGTGGCCAGTAGATGAGGTTCTCGTCGATCTGTTCCAGAGCCTTTGCATAGTTTCTGTCAAGTTTCACCTGATAACAGAGAAGAAAAAGCAATTTAATCATTTAAATGCAAATATGTTTAATATATATTGCTTGTTTTTATTCTCATACCTTCTCCCACATGCGAGAAGGAAATGCTGCTCTCTCAATAACTTTCATGTAGAGAAAACACTGGCCTGACAAAACAGAAGACTTGTAATATCAAATAGACATTCAAGAAATAGGTAGAATTTTTACAGAATTCATTACCTTTTTCTTCTCTTATAGTTGCATACTGGCTATTAGCAAGAGGGCATGATGATCTGTTGCAAAGGCCTGTGATGTTGTATTCATTTCGGCAGAACTGCTGAGTTTTCGTTCTTCAACAAGAACATGAATTCAGAAAGTTAGATGAGATGCACTTATTTTATATCATACTTCAATATGCAGAAGAGAAACAGCTCTGAATAGTGTAGAAACATGTAGTGGCCCAAATTTCATATACTTACTTAACTTTATAGGAACAAAAACTCTTATTGCCGATAAGGTCCCATATAACCTTTAAAAAACAAAATATTACATGTGAAGGATTATTATTGGTTTTATATTCGTTTATTTAAAAATAGTTAGATTTGTTACATGGTTCCTACATTGTTTACCAAGCTATTTTGAATATTTGGTCTGATAGAGCATGCTACTATGACTTCAAAACAACATTAGCACTGTTTAACTGACTGTAATATACTTTGATAGTACCTGACTGATTATATGATAACACTGTTTAGAATTGGCCAAAAATACCTTAATAAAACTATATTATAGCCCGAATGCGCGAATACAATACCAACTTCACCTGAACGAATAAAATACTAACTGGTGCGAAAACAGGTCTACTTTAAGACGTTGTCGATTGCAAGTTTAGTTAAATCTAAAACAAAAACAACCCCCAAATTATGGCATAGTAATTTGTGTTAGATTTCTTTTTAAACTAAAATTTTCCTAGAGCCCATAACGTTATTAATTTCAGATAAAATGAAAAGCATTTCTACCATCAGTCTTACAACAATACTTACGTCGTCGTGTTGCATTCTGACGGCTTCTTTGAACAACCGGCTCTCTGTACGTAAATGTCAGTGTTAATCCAATACAATGAAATTAACTTTACGGATAAGAAAAATGATGAGAGCAGTTATTTTGTGATATAATAAAACAGCACATGGAAGTTACAGATGGCAGCCATATTAACACCACATGAACTACTCCACCACGCAAGGTCTTCTTCTTCGTTGGGATTTGACGGGACCTTGCATACAAATGGGTTGCACTACTGCCACCTTTCGGGTTTTACTTCACTGTATTTTCCACATCTTGAATCAGCCCCGTCCAGAAATCTGCTTCCAGAGGGCATTAAAGTCGCGGTGAGATGCAATATTGAGCCAAGACGCACATAAAGAATCTGTTACCGACCTGATGCTAGAATAACGTGACCCAGCCGCAAAGACGTTAGTTAGTAGGTAGGTATAATAGTTCGTAGTAGGTATATTATAAACATTGTGTGACAAAACTCTCTCAGTATACTAAAAGCAATAGAATGTAAAATGTAAACCACTATCGTATTTTTTATTTTTACAATTGAACTGATGCAGCGCAATATAACATAAATAAACCTCTGAATTTATTTTAAAATAAACAACATTATAGTGAAATGATTAGTCTGAAAATTACCTAACAACCATCAAGCTGAGTTTAGTTTTACATGTTATTTTATAAAATGGTTTGTTATATTATTAAAGTCTTTGCAACTGTATATAAGTATTGTACTGTGAGACGGAATTTAAATTCCAGACCCTTTTCTATTTAATCTGATCATATAAGAAATAGTAAAAAGGTTTGTGTAAGGGTTGTTGACGTTGCATTTTCATTTCATTTTATAAAAACTGCTGTTACATTTTAAGCCAAATCTCTGTAAACCTTAGGTCTCAAACTTAATTCCTGAAGGGCCGCAGTTCTGCACACTATACCTTCAACCCTAATCAAACACAGCTGATCTGATAATCGATGCTTCAAGAGTCTTTGATCAACACCTTCATTATTTGCATCAGCTCCAGTAATCAAGTTTAAGACCTATGCTCTAGGGGTGTCCAAACTCAGTCCTGGAGGGCCGCATATTTTAGTTCCAACCACAATTAATCACACCTGAACCAGCCAATCAAGCGCTTTCTGAGTATTTTAGAAACATACAGGGAGGTGTGTTGAAGGAAGTTGGAGCTAAACTATGCAGGACACCGGCCCTCCAGGACCAGGTTTAGGCATGTGGCTATTTAATAAATTGCAGTATTTTAACATAGGAACTTGGAACTAAGTTTCCTCTTGATGATATGCTCATTTAAAAAAAAAAAAAAAAAAAAAAAAACTTTTTGGAACCACTTAAAAATAAGTAGTTTTTTGTATTTTGCTCTGGCACCCCAGTTTATTAATGATGCCAAAACTTGTTGCACATGTCATTAAGAAAAATATTCAGGATTTCAAATCAAACAAATGGCACTGTGTGAAGTGTCCAAAAATGAAGATAAATCTCTATCGTTTTTTTTGTTGTTGTTTTTTTTAACTGTCAAACTATAGGACATTTTTAAGGAACAATTCAGTAAAAAAAAACACTAAAATCAAACATTTCTATGATAAAATGGGAAAAATGTATTTGTTTGTTAATTGTTGTTGACTTGTGGGTTCATACTAGTAACCTGCATTATAAAAAAGAAAATAAAAAGTTATGTTTACACATCCTTAATCATAAATAACAGTGTATAAAAGCAAAACAGTTTCGAATTAGCCAAAAAATTTGACCATAATTGAGAAAAAATACAAAACCATATAAGAAACATTTTATTTTAAGTTCATGTATTGAACAATAATCATTTGTTAACATCAAATTACAACTTTTAAAACTTTTTCAAATACTGTTTTCTATTTGTGTATCAGGAATTATATCTACAGTATGTTGGTTGGGCTTTTGCAGTTTTTGAAGCTTAAACGTGCAAAATGGGTGTGAGATATAAGCAGTTAACAGATGTTGACTTTCCTTTTTTCTCTTCAGCATTTAATCACTTCCTTGCCAATCACAGATGGAGAAACAAACACCATCTGACTGGCTGAGAGACTACAGTGAGTGTGAACTCTCAGCCAATCAGATGAGGTTTAAGTCTACAGCTGCTGTAGACACTCGGGTGCTGTAAAACAGGGGATTTTCAAAGGCTGCGTCCGAAACCGCATACTTCTATACTCTATAGTACGCTAAAATCAGTATGGGAGCCGAGTAGTATGTCCGAATTCATAGAATTCGAAAATCAGTATGCGAGAAGTACCCGGATGACTTGCTACTTCTGGTGAGATTCTGAAGTGCGCATCCCATGCACTCTGCGCTATCCCATGATGCCCCGCGAGCGAATTCATGAATGGGAGTGAAGCGACGCAAATGACACAGGTAGGTCGCGTGACCATGACAAAATGGCGGATGTAGTACGTCCGAATTCCATTCATACTTTTCACATTCATGTATAGAACGTACTTTTCTAACGGCCGAGTAGTACGTTTACATTCAAATGCAGTACCTACTGAGTAGTAGGTGGTTTCAGACGCAGCCAATCTTTTAGGACACACGCCCCCCCCAAGTTTGTCCAATTTCACTCTATTGTCTAAGGCAGGGCTGCTCAACCCTGTTCCTGGAGAGCCACCTTCCTGCAGATTTCAGTTGCTACCCATATCAAACACACCTGAACCAATTAATTAGGACCTGAACACCAGGTGATAATTACAGGCAGGTGTGTTTGATATGGGTAACAAGCGCAGCCGTTTAGAGCTCATTTCTGGTTGATGATGTCAGAATTTACCAGTATTTTGGAATGGATGTGTGAATGCTCTTTTCCGGAAAAATTCCGTAACGTCCTCACCTGTGTGAACAACGCTTTTTTGAATTTACCAGTAAAGTGGTTCCAGAAATTTTACATATATTTACCGGTATCACTGTGTGAAAGGGGTTCATGTCTCTTTTCAGATAGGATTCTTTAAGTGTCTCATTATAGAAGCATTATATTAAAATAGTTGATAAGAAGAATTTGGAAGCTAGTTTTGTTGATTATAAGCTGGAATTATTGGGCTGTATAAAACTAGTTTTCTGACTAGGTGATTGTTTTAAACATACACCCTCTTTAAACTATGATCTACAAGGATTTGTTGTTCTGTTCCCTCTTGTGGAGCTTGACATGTTTACTAAGAATGAACAGGTTTATGAAGTATTGAGAAATTATGAATTTATGATGAATGTTGAATGCAACCTTGTTGTACACTAAGCCCACCAAAAAGATACCATAGGTACCCTTTGGCGGTGTAGACACAAGCCTGATAAAGGTGACCCATACCGAATCATATTGTACCACTCAGTGGAAATGGGCTAAAAGTGACCCAGAGGCAGATTAGGAAGGGCTGGGTGATACCCTTACCACCATTGAAATCACCACAGCTCACCCTCCAGCCTCTGTAAGCCTTCTTCTGTTAATCCAAATGCATCACTATCACCATGTTACTCGTACTTATTTTGTGATTTAAAAAAGAACCTAGACAATACATGCAATCATTAAAACTTGCCATGTGATTATTGCACTTTTCATCAGGAGGACGCCTCCAGCTCCAATTTCCTGCCAAGATTCCAGCAGCTGGAGATTCTGCTCTCTACTGGTGAAGATCGGCTTCTCTGAGACAAGTCGACAGTCCAGAGGAACAGAATTATTGATGCGTGGAATGTTGTGAAGGACCACGTCAAGCAGATGCAGAGGTTTCACCAGCTGTACAGGATGCACTGGAGCAATTCGCTGTACTGTCATACTAAGAGGGATGCTCTTGTCGAAGCTGCCATCGTTCAGAAGGTGAAGATGGCCAAATGTTATGCGCCAGCTCAACAGGACATCAGTGCTCTTCACAACAGGCTGATGTACACACTGGTCAAACTTCTGTGGCTGGAGTTACCTCACAGTTCCAGCAGAACAAGTCAAAAGAAGTCATCTATCCTTAAGGCATATGAAAAAAGCACTGCATATTGGTGGAGGATCCAGTTTTGTGCATGGTGGGAATTCCTCTACAAAAATTAATTTGAAGATGGTCCAGGATTTCATTCTTCATCAAGAGAGGCTGATCAACCTGCTTACTTTCAACGCCATGTCAGCCGTCCGTTCTCCCTCCTCCGGGCTACCCAGAGATGGAGTATCAGCACATAACTAGTACAGCAGAAACCAGATCTTGAAGAGGTTACTGAAACCTCCTTTACCCCAGCAGAAGCCTTGTCAACAACCTTCAAACCTTTTCCCAGAACTCATACAACCACCACAGGAACACCCGAGGTTCCAACCACCTCCACCAACACATTCAGCCAGCCTGACACCCCTGTGAGAAAAACAAACAAAAAACAGACACTCTAACTGAAGTTGATGCAAAGCTATCCCATTGCATCACTTGCCCATATGCACATATTGCCATCAGCCTATGCAGGGGCATAAGAAGTATAAAAAACATATTTTGTGTTGTAAAAATTATGTCGACCCCCAAAGGGCTGGAAAACGTAAAGACTCTTTTTACATAATGTATATTTCATGTATATATATTTTTATTGTGGGTACAAAGTTATGTGTGTTATTGTGTTTGATTATTCTGTTTTTTATTCTATAGGCAATAGTAAGAAGTTAAGAAAAAAAAAATAAAAACGATTTATTGCAATACTCATTTTGTTTTACTTAAAAGCCAATAAAAGTTCCTAATGTATTGTATAACAAAAATTACGCTGAAATCTCACAGCTGCTGGTAGCCCATGTACAAACTGGGGAACACATAAAAGCCTACATTTTGAAAATAAACATACATGTGAAGTTAATAAGGATAAATTGGCCATTTTAAGTAAACATATTTGTACTTAAGTAAACATAAATAAACCATCTTAATTATTTCTGTGCTGAAAAAGTGTGAGACTGTAGTCCAGGGCTATTCAATTGGCGGCCCGCGGGCCGAACCCTTATGTACAATGCACTGTAATCCTTAGTGAAATCAGCTAATCGTTGCATCCTTACTATTAACTGTGCTTTAATTCGTCATAGTTAATTAATCGTAAAGGCTTCTCTTAGCCACATTTCTGTTGCATGGAAAAGCTATGACAAGTTGCCAACTGTGCACTAGTTTAAAGTTCCAAGTATGTACACCAAGGCTAAAACGCATGCACACCGGATTAACTATAGTAGCGGCCATTTCCATATCACATCTTTTCAGCTGGCAAGTAATTTCTAGT